GAATAATGAGTAGAAATGAAACGGAGCGAAAAACACACCTCGTAATGGTCCACGAAGGGAGATTCAAATCTCTCGCCGTACTCCTACTCATCCTCCTCATCGCATCTATACCCATTTCTATAAACTCTCTATCCAATGTATCACGTGCCATACCCCCACTTCCTCCACTTGCCCCTCCAGAACCAGACCCTCCAGAAGATGTCCCACGAGAAGAAGAAGACTTGTTCGAATGACTACTCTTTTGCGTGCCGACAGTCCCAGTCGTACTCGAGGTCGTCTTGGACCGAACAAGACCTGGAATAGACATGCGTTTCTTGCCCTTTTCCTTCTTTCCAGCATCTCCATCGTCTGTTCCCAAAGAGACACCACCACCGCTCACACCATCTCCGACTACCCCGTTCCCGACTCCATTTCCATTACTATTGCTGCTTTGCATACTAAACCTCCTCGCCATATTCGAAAGCGTCTTTCTACTCGACGCACGTCCAAACTTGGGTCTAGACGAGGGCGACGAAGATAGAGGCGCAACATGCCCATCTTCCTCATCACCCTCTTCCCCAATCCCCAATCCCAATCCAATACCCCGTCTCTGACCTTCCCCATCACCATCACCATTCCCCTCCAACCGATCCTCCTCCTGCCCCCCAATCTCCACCTCCCCAGGCCCCCCAACACCCTCCAAAATCCTCTCCAAAGCCCTCTGCAACGTTTTAATCGCCTCAGGCATCTCATCCCTCCTCACACCAAAAATCTCCATAATCACCAAATCATTCCCAGAACTCAACGCTTGCCTCATGCGATTTCGCAAATCTGCCAAATCGGCTGCAGCGTCCAATTGGGCTTGTTGGTGGCGTAACGAGGCGAGTGTTTGGAGGACGTCTGCTTCGTTTGCGTTGGGGTTGTTGGTGGAGGAGGAAGGAGAGAAGAAGGGTGGGAGGTTGGGAGAAGAGATGGTTGGTGTGCGTTCGTGTTCATTGGATGGAGGAGCAGCACCGACACCGACGGTAAAAGGAGAGGAGTGGACAAAGGGAGCAGAAATGACTGGGGACATTGGGTCTGCCACTACTGGAGGTACCTGCTGTCCTTGTTGTCCTTGGAGTGAAGCATACGAGGTCGGCGTCCCAGGAGACGAGATTACTGCCGGTGCAGCAGGTACCACTCCAAATGGCACGTTCACATTAGGGCCTGTAGGCGTAGCTGTTCCAGAAGAAGCTTGCGAAGACGAAGCTACAGAAGCAACACCAGCCAAGGAAGAATGCGAACTAGACGGAGGAAGTCCAGTACTCGAGTCTACTGCACCAGAACCCAAAATCATCCCTGCCAAAGGCTGAGCTCTATATGGAAACTTGGGATGATCTTGTGGGACTAGTAATCTCGGAACAGACTCTTGACCTGGAGAAACGATGACCTCTGTGCCGACCCCAGAAAGCTGCAATGCATTCGGAGCAGAAGCAGAAGATGGTCCAGCCTCGATACGACCTTGAGCTTGGCTTATAGTCGTACTCGAGCCTGCCAAGCTAGCGAGATAGTTGAGCGTAGCTATAGAGGTCATACGGTCCCGAGCCATCATCTCTCGCATCATCGACTGGGTCTCTTCGACTTGTGTGAGGATCCGGATTTGGATTGAGAGCTGGAGAGAGGAGCGTTAGTGATAGTGAAGAAGTAGAGTACGAGACGTACACTAAACATCCCCAAGGCTTCTTGCAACGCCGCATTGCAGGCAGCGATTTGCTTTAGAATCTCTTCCCTCTTGAGGTACCGCTTTAGAAATGGACGGTGGCCTTGCTTTTGCAAAAAGGCGAGACAGACGTTGAAGGACCTAATGTAGAATGGGTTAGTAAATGAGGAAAATAAAGATACATTAATGGTAACGCACTGTGTTAGCTTTGCAATAGGCATAGCGAGCTCTTCACCGACTCGGTCACCGGCTTCCCAGATTTCTTGCCTGACAGATAAAAGAATGTCTGCACAGTGCTCTGTAAGACGAAGACACTGTAACCGGTTGTCCTACAAAAAAGACGCGTTACGAGGGAGAAACAGAGGGAGAAAAGGGCGGGCTCACATCAACCATCTGCAACGCATCCCATATTGTAAGCAAGGTACTAGCAGCGGAACGAAGGCCAGGTACGGGTGCTAGCTCGAGGAGGTCAACCGAGACAAGGAGGGCTTCGTGGGCTACTAGACCTGCCGTACCGAGAACCGAGGCTGCTGCTTGGGCAACGCGCTATATTGCATATTAGTTGGTAACGGGTAACATAAAGGCACAGAATAAAGAATGTTTTTTCCCAAACGGGATCGAGAAATCGCCGTGATACAAACGTAGCAGAGGGCGGCGGGATGGAAAGGCCGCGCAAGCAGAAACGCGTTTTTTGCAACAAAGAAACACTCACATCTCTAGTAACGACCCAACCCTGTGTCTGTTCCTGAGGCACCGAATCCTTCCTCTTGGGCGAGTCCTTCCATGGCCTCGGAATCTTGGTCTCATCCGACTTCCACCACGTAGAGAAGCTCGTAGGCGTCATTGGCCCTTGCGCTTTGACATCTTCCAAATTCAGCCCAGGCGTCTTTGACCTCGATCTCGAGCGAAGTCTAAAAGACGACGAAGCAGAAACGCGGTCGTCCAAGTCGCCAGGACGTACAGTAAGCGTTTGGGAAAGGGCGGGACTGAGCGGAGGTGAGAGAAGAGCACCAGCAGAAGTGGAAGTTGGAAGATTGGGGTTGGGCGAGCTGACTCGGCTGAGAAGCGAGGATTCACGTGAGGGCGGGATAGTAGATATCGAGTGACCTCTTCCTCTGGTTCTGGACACTGTTCCACTGGGCAAGCCTAAAGGCGGGGAAGCAATAGAAGGTGATGATGATGGATTGAGCGGGGATTTGATTTTGGGAACCGCGGTTGATGATGAGGAAGGAGAGGAAACTGAAGAGAGCGTTGCCGTAGACTCTGAGGACGACGGAGACGACGACGAGGACGCCATTGGCTTTGGCGGGGGTTTCGAGCTCATCGTTGTGGACGACGACGAGGACAATGAAAAGAGCGAGCTCGAGGTTTATATACAACAAGCAATAAAATATACAAGACTAGAATGTGGAAATGGAAGACGGATGATGGTCGTCGTCGAGATGCAAAAAGTCGCGCATGAAATACCCAAGCTATAGATCATGACTCGTGGGAAACGATCGAAAAACGTTGATATTCCGGATTTGGAAAACTAATCTCCGGCCTCGTCTCCTACCGCGGACGTCTGCATTCCAGCCACCGCCGTTCCAAGACATTGTCGATCTAGCGGTGCTTTTTTGACCGGTTTTCTTCGAGTTTCTTCAAGTTTCTTTTTTTCTTTCTTTTTTTCCTCGATTTCTTTCCTTCATTCCGAGGTCCGAATGAGAGTACCACCCTAGGAATGTACTCGCCTTCCATTTCATGTCCATACGGTCCGCAATGCAGCTGTACTGGCACTGATTGGGTCGAGGGACGGCTCATCCTACTTGCCTATTACAGCACTTGTCCCAACATGGCTCTAAATAGACTGTCGAGCGCTATTGTCTTGCTCTGCACTGCACGTGCGTCATACCTACTACTCCTCGTCACTCGATACCAGCTGCATATCTATCTACTATCTACTCCTCTCTCCCAGTACGAAAATCTCGGTTCCGTCAGACGCACCCTCTAACTTTCAGCCTTTACTCACCCTTCATTACTCTCTCACCATAGCCACCCCGGAAGGATCATCACCCAAATCAGCTGAAATGAAAATTTATCCCCTAGAGCCTTTTCACGTCTCTCTTGCATACCTCTACGCTTACGCTCGAATCGCTCCCCCGAAAGACACGTTCATACAAACGTAGTAAACTCTTATACTTGGAATGAAGGCAAAAGTCTCTCAATGAATTTAGCCAGTAGTAACTTGCGTCGTTGATCTTTTTACGAGCGCTTGTCCGCAAGAGTATGCTTATACGTAGCTTGCAGAAGTCGCTACTGGTAGAAAATGTCGATCTTCCGGATTTAGCCTCCAACACCGAGGTATCAAGGTATTCCACTTCGAATCCTTCTTTTCATTCAGATAGTAACCTCTTGATCTCAATCCTTACCCTACAACCGCCGTACCAGGTGTATAGAAGACATATATACCTCTTTACCCTTTTCGATCAAGTACCACATGCCACATCCGAATCCGATACCTTGACCCCCTAGCTAGTAATTATAACGCCACATAACTAAAGGTTAGGGTGTCATCTTAACTCCGGAGAACAAGCTCAAAACCCTTCTAAAATCAACCAAGGAACATACAAACCTCCGACTCGATCAACCTCGTACGGATATCGTTTACTCCTCCTCCGATTCTAAATTTTCAGACCAACCCACATTTTTCACGTCGATCAGCACTATGATACGGACTCCTACTCGCAATCTCCACGCCACAACATATGTCGCACCTGCGGAAAATCTCTCTTGGCGTCGGCTTTATATGAATTAGCGTAGCGGGACCTACAGGTACCCACAGCTTGTTATATTATGCCAAGAAAAGCTGGACGCAAATCCTCTTTCCGAGACTAGCACTAATTGGAACTGCTTAACTTGGTGTAGCCATCGGTACCTACTACAACTAATTCCCGAAACCCACAAGGTTCAAAGGCTCAAGGTCAAAGTCTCAAACTTCTCCTTTATACGAACCTTCCCTTCGTACAATTCTCGATAGATCTAGCCTAGAAAGTATAAGCCTCCGTTTGAAAATGAAAATTAAATACATCCATCCCCTCGAATCTGGATCTCCTCGGTGAAATTCATTAATATTCAAATTTGAAATCGCACGGCGGACCTCCAGACGGTGTACATACTGCTCCTCCATCCCATGATAGATCCAACCACCCTACCTCAGTGAACAGCCCGGCGTATAAACGTACATACAAACATGTTCCTCATTCTTATCATGTATTCAGTGTCAAACGCTCTTAAATTTGAAAATCCTCTTGTTTCTTCCTTGGTAGCACCACCAGAAATGAAAACACCGTTGGTGAAGTGGTTATCATGCTTGCCTTCCATCTAGATCTCGATAAGCGGTGAAGCAAGCGGCTCGGGTTCGATTCCCGAACGGTGTATACTGAATATGGTGTTAATTTTTTGTTTAAAAACAATCTACGACCCAAACTGAGTTCTATACACTTATAAGTACATGGAAATGTCCGGTCACAAATTATCTATAACAAGATATCCAATTCAAGTCAAGACATGCATGCTCCTTGATCCTAATTGTTAAGCATGCATGATGCATGCTGTGTAGTACCGATGCCTCGTTCGATGCCACTGCTCGTCGTCCTTCCTTCAGTCAGACTAGCACGTTGGCCCCAAAGCGAGTAGCCAATAGGGAGCAAGCTGACGCCCTTTGTAGAGGCTGTTAGTGTCCCCAAGTCATATATAACGATTATTCTCTTCCCCCGTCGTTCATGTAAGTAACACCGTTGGTGAAGTGGTTATCATGCTTGCCTTCCATTCCCGTATGTTTTATTCTTGAGCATTAAAGGTTTTGGACCTGAAGGTGAAACTGGCGGAGGAAGTGGAAACCTTGGTGGCAATAACACTCAGGGGAATAATGGTGGTTCTCGATCGCACCACAGAAAACGACGCCGTCACCATCGAAACAGTCCCTCAGACAGCTCTTCGTCCTCATCGTCCTCTTCATCTGATGGAAGTGACGATAATGGTAAAAGGTCGAAATTCGATAAGAACCTGGTTCCTTTCGTTGCAAGAGACAAAATCCTTCTTGAAAGTATGTCTTCTGGGGCCCGAGCCACTCATGCCCTTGCCGCAAACTATCGTCGAGGAGGGAAAGCGTTCAAAGACTTGCTTAAGGGTTCAGTTAGCCGACCTGAATTCCCAGACAGCGAATGGAACTCCATTATTCAGAACAAAGTCTGTGACTTTGATGCTGTACTTTCTAGCATTCACTCTCCAGCAGTCCCCAAGTCGCTCAAGGAGAAGGTGGGGGTGTTTGAGATCAAAGCGGAGAAGGATGTCGAGGTCACGAAGACAGTCACTAATGAGGCGCAATGGAACAAAGCTTTCCGTTTGTTCAAGCGTGCAACTCTGCACCTTTTTCCCCATCGCGATCTCGAGTTGGCTACCTATGAGAGTCATATGGGTGATCTTTTTCTCTCTATTGACCCATCGCTCCATCCTCGTCTCATCTCGTATGACAAGGCGGTTCGCAACCTGGTTGCTAATCGTGGTGATCTCACCCTCGCAGATACCAACCACGATGCCTTTCGGAACACATTCCGCACCCATATTGAAACCTATGGAGCATTTGTGGTCGAAAATGCGCAGCTTGCTTCGACCTCTTCTTCACCATTGTCCTCAAGGGACAAACGACCTAAGGTTGAAGTATGCAAGCGGTTTAACCAAGGTACTTGTGTTGGGACTTGCCACTATGCTCATGTTTGTTCGAGGCCAAACTGCAGGCGACAGGGACATGGTGCTCATGAGTGTAAAGAGGGGAAGACTGAGAAGAACTGATTGGGATGTAATATCTTGCGTGTTTTTGGTGCCCTTCTTCCTACAACTCACTACCTTGCTGCTGAATTCAGAGCTTGGTTGTGTTTTCTTTTTTCCTTTCTATGATACCTTGCCGCTGAATTCAGGGCTTGGTCATTTTTCTGTGCTTCCTCAAGTGTCTCTTTACGCTACCTTGCCGCTGATTTCAGGGCTTGGTTGCATTTCTTCTCTTCACCTTCTGTCTTTCTATGTCAAACCCCCTCGATGTACGCTGGGGGCACCCAAAAAATGAACCCAACGTTGTCAGGGGATCACGGCAACCACCTCGGAAGCCGTGGTCTCTGGAGCGCCTCAGATTTGAGCGCTCTATTGCGGTTGGCGCTGCTATTGATACATCCACACATTCTTCATATACGTCTGCCCTTAATTCCTATGTCTATTTCTGCGACGTCCACCGATTTCCCTACAAACCTACACCCGATATTTTTAGCTTCTACATTGTGTGGCTTTGCAACAACGACGTACAACGTGTTGACCCGAAATCGGTGGAAAAATACCTCTCTGGTATCTGTAATGAGCTCGAATACTTCTATGACGACGTTCGGGCAATTCGGAGCCATCGCTTAGTGCGGAAAACCCTCAGAGGATGTCGCCGTTTATACAGCAAACCCACCAAAAGGAAGTCCCCTCTTTCCACTTCCGATCTTGTCCTCGCCGTTGAGCATTATCGTCACAGTCGTGACCACGACGACCTACTTTTCCTCACTCTACTACTTACCGGTTGGTTTGGTTTACTGCGCCTTGCAGAGTTGTGCCTTCCCGATGCCGGGAAACACCAAAACCTACGGAAACGGACCAGAAGAGACTCGGTGAAATGGTATTTACAAGGATACGGTTTTGACTTACCCCAACACAAGGCAGATCCCTTCTTCGAAGGAAATAAAGTGGTGATCCGTCGTCATAATCGTTTCCCCCAAAAGATTGATCCATACAACCCTTTTCTTGACTACCTCAAATCCCGCGACACCCGGTTTCCCACTCATTGGCAGCTTTGGCTGCGAGTAGATGGCTCTATGCCCACCCGCTCTTGGTTCTTAGATAGGCTGGAAAGGTTGTATAACCGGCATGACATTGCTGGTCAGTCTATCCGTTCTGGTGGGGCTACTGGTCTTGCAGAAATTGGTGTCCCTCTTCACCTCATTCGTGCCACTGGTCGATGGGCCTCCGAGACTTTTCACATCTACATCCGCAAAAACCCGACTTTCCTCACTGCCCTTCTACTCCAATAAACCTTTCTCATCAACGGCATGCTCTCATTATCATCATCATCTTTCATCATCTCTTCCATAGGCTCCATAGCGGTTGCTCGCATGCCCGTTTGTAATCCATCCCGGCCCCGGGGACGCTTGCCCTGGGGCGCGTCTGCCTACTCAAAACCAGATCCGAAGACAAGCAAATGATTGGTTGACGGTAAATTTTGAATTTACCTAGATCAATATTGTGAGTCCCAGGACTCAAAGGGTACACGTCGCTACGTGATCATACTGCCCCCATGTCGTTTCGCCAAACGACCTAGTTGCGTCGCACGCAACTTATCTTATGCACCGCTGTGCAAACTTCTAGCCGCGCTCGGCTTAATACCGGAATTTTCCGGTCATGTGGGTACAGCGGTCATGGGTATTGAGTCGCTCACTCTTCTCGCTCACTGCCCGTTGTACCCAGGTATGTTCTATATACATTATCCTGCTCTTCTCGTTTACTGAACATTGTATACACAGTTTTTCATCGCTTACCCTCCCACCCACCCCGTGTTATGCTCAAAATGTATTGCCTTTGCATCAAATGTAACCTCCGGTTTATGTCTGTCTACCTTATTTCCTACTGTACCCTATTGTATTTTATACTTGTACTTGTACGGCGGTTGCTCGCATGCCCGTTTGTAATCCATCCCGGCCCCGGGGACGCTTGCCCTGGGGCGCGTCTGCCTACTCAAAACCAGATCCGAAGACAAGCAAATGATTGGTTCTTGAGCAAGCGGCTCGGGTTCGATTCCCGAACGGTGTATTTCTACTAACGTTTTAGCGTGCTTTTTACATCACAAACACCAAATATATAGATCGCAAACCGTCAAGTCGCTCCCAAGCCCATCGACATTATCGTCCAAAGGTGTCGGAGACTCGGAGGTGCTACACACTACAAGTTATCCCGAGAATCTGGATATGGAAATCGGGAGGATGAGGAATTGGCATAAATATTATTTCTGGCAAGTGAATTTTGGTTGATTGAGTGAATACATAAATAGATTGTGGAAGTAGGATCTGTTGGAAATATACACAAAGGGAAACGAATGAAATAATACAATTCCATTAAATATTAAGTATCCCGATGTTCTCGAATCGACTTTGTCCTGATTTTACGCATCACCTTGCTCGTCGTCTTTCTAACCCAAGATTTGACTACACTCGCCTTGAGAGGAGAACTTTGACTTGTAGGTGTAACGACATTTGTATCTCCTTCATGTTGTAAAGTGTGCTCGATAACGTTTAGCGACCTCTGGATATCCTGCTTCTCCACATGGGTATCTTGGATATCCGTTGGGACAGCCTTGTTTCGGATCTCTCGAGTTTCGTGATGAGATCTGGCACTTGTGCTACATTGAGGTTGAAAAGAATAGTTATAGTCGGAGTGGGATTTTTGATGCGAGCGACCAGAGCAAGAGCTGGCGCTGGCATTAGACGGACTGATTTTGGCATCATGCTTGACAGGCCTTGGGCCTGAAGAAGACGTTCTAAGAAAACGAAGCTGTCAATACTGAGAAAACTCAAAGCCAAAAAAAACTCACTCTATCTCGAGTTCTGGTTCTACTCCATGCACCATCGCACTAAACTTTTCACAGACCCTAATTGCCTTGAGCAAAAGCTTTTTCAAGAGCACGTCAACATGTCCCTGTCTCTCTTCCTCCAGCACATTTGCTAGCTCACTTCGCAAATCAACCAAGATCATCGGCAAATCCTCAGCATGATGAGCACCAACAGCCTCCAATATATCTTCGTCCGTCCCGGTATCCACAAGTTGCCAAGTTTTGATATTCAGTCTAAGCTCTTCTTCAAACATCGATAGAACCGCTTCCTTTTGCTCTCTTTCGCGCTGGAGCTGAAATCCGACTTTGAATCTTCTAGAGATCTCGGTAGGAGAAACATCCGAGTCATATTGACGTAGATGAGTGCATGCGTTGAGTAGTTCCCACATTGCGCCGGCGGTTGCTCCGTAGACACGCAAGTTCTCGATGAAAGGCAAGGAGCCGGCATATAAGCCAGAATAGTCGAGTCTGTACATCACCTCCTTCGCGGCATCTGGGCTTCCCTGAATGGGATAGAAAAGCACCTCCAAGGTGGTGACTTGGGAAGGAAAGCGAATAGGAACAGCGTTGTTGTAGGGAAAGACCGCGTTCAGTGGTTGATCTACGAGCTCGAAAGAGATTCTCCGAAGGTGAGGAAGACGGTTCTTTCTCTGGAGTGTTATGGACAGATATTGGATGAGTGTATAGACAGACTTGTCGATAGGACCACTTTCATCGTCCCGGCGGAATGTAACGGAGCGACAAAGC